CTGCTAAACGGCCATACTTGATGCAAACGGTCAAAAGTAGGAAGAGGCACGTTGAGACCGGTGAGGATAGGTTGCGATACGAATAGTTTGGCAGGTTGGAGCTATATGCTTACAAGAAAAGTAACTAAAGGTGAAACCCAGCGCAATTATCCAAATGCACCAAATGAACACGCCTGCCCAACGGAAACCCCGAACTAATCGTCTCAAAGGGGATCCAGCCTTACGCAACAATGTCGTAAATTACGAACTGCAGTGATAGTCTGCAAAGACCTCGTTTCTACAGGGTTAAAGTGGCAAAAACGTTGGGATGGGAGCAATTAGTCCTCATTCTGAGTGTGTTGTAAACTTGAGGGTAAATTTACAACCTGCTTTAATTTTATTTGCTCAACGGCAAGAAAAGCTTAATTTCATCTCATTTCAGGATTTATTTGCTATAAAATGTTCACGAGACGTTTCTAATAGAGAAACAATATAGTTGAGGTGAAACATCAAAGGTGTCATTAGCTGAAAAAAAAGATCAAATCCAGAAAAGTGAAAATACTGTCCAGAAAATTAATGGTAAACAAATAAATGGAAGCAATGTGCTTACGAAGCCATATCCACGACTTTTGCCTGTCTGCCGATCGGTGATCACCACCGCTTCTTCAATTTCTCCAAATCTTTCAAAAAAACTTCGTAGACTGGCGTCTGTTGTGTGGTAGGGCAAACCGCCAACAAAAATTTTTGTAAACGTTGTGTCCTTCGTTGCATAGTGGGAGGAGGAGCTACCCCCACCAGAGGGTGGGGCTTCGATTGGTGCAGATTCAGAAGACATTGTCTGTAGTCGGTGTGGTGGGAACCTGAAGCGTTTTTAATTAGAAAGTTGTCAGACGGCAGCTACCAGCATGCTTGCATGCGGTCAGCAGTGAGTGCACGCAAGAACATGCGTCGTTTCAAGTGCACCAATCAATACACCAGCCGGGGTTCGATGTAAACCAATCAGGTGCCTGGATTGCCTAGCCATGGACGTGCACACAGCTGTGTGGTTCACCATCATGATGCGATTTTGTGTTTGCGTGCACGTGTATGTGAGTACAGATGAAAGGTCACCTCTCTTGGAGCCTGGCACTGGCGCATGTGCTAACATGAGCGCATTAACCACAGGGCTTTACTGACCGCCTGCTTCGGATTTTACCGCATCCTGTGACGTTCTAGCATTTAGTATCGTGCTATGCGATGCGTAAATAGTAAATTAGTCTCGCCGCTATTACGTATCCTTTGATGATCAGGTAAATAGTAAAATAAATTTTAGGAGCCATAAGTATAACAATTTTCGTGATTTTCTGTTTTATAGCAGTAAAATTAAGTACGTTTGCGTTACGTACGACCATTCCTATTCAAGTTCGGTTGATGGTATTTTGTGTTTCGTTACCACTAAGTATTTTACGAGTTATCCAACAATTAGGCATCAAAAGGCTTGACAACCTTCTTTTTAAGAGGTGCAACCGGTATGCAGTCAATTAATGATCCTTGTTTTACTGTTGCAAAGTTAAGGGAACAGACAGCACTTGAACCTAGCGAAAAATGTTCTTACATTGCGAAATATTTTGTATCACTTTTCTGGTGAATGTTCCGATGAATGAGAGTCTAAGTAGTTGCAGAACGAGTAAAAACAAGAACACCAAACCTAGCTTGAAGTAACCGTTTATTCAAGGAGCGTTAGGAAATAATGCAAAGCAAATGTTCTCTCCGACATGCTTACCACTCACCGCGGTTTTTCGTGTCAGGAGTTAGAGGTCACCCGAAGCTCTCTATCCCCGTGATAATCGAGGTTTCTATACGGAATGCAGCAGCAATGGCAAACTCACCAGGCGCTCTTCATGTAGAAAATGTTGTCGAAAATGTGCTCTCCAGTGGCATTTCAGTAGAGATTGCACTTCAGCTTAAGAAGTTTATTTGTTGAACAACTTTCGCCCTTTCTGTCATTCTCCACAAAATGTGTCCACGTGAGTAAGCGAAAGTTTCGTTCAGCCGTTCCCCTATGGCCTTACAGGAACAGGCAAAATTTAAATGATATTTGATCAACGGTGTAGCAGCCATACTTTGACCCGTTACCTGCATGCCTTAGGAGTCGAAACGCTCCCTCCACACCGAAGCATTTTAAATTACTAAAAGCATATGTAGTAAGTGCAATTCCAGAAATTGTTCTGCATGTGGTGCCCCAATAAGTCATGCTTTGAAGGCATTAGATCGGACTGCTATTAGGTAATCAGAACGGCACATCATTGAAAGTTGAAGTGAGCTCTGTAAGAAGAGAAAGTCATGTTGCTTGTGGCGCCTTGAGAGTTCCTACAGACGAAGGAAGATGTAATACTTGGGCAAATAGAGAAGAATGCGCCTGCTGGTATGGTCCAGATGCCAGTTCACCCCAGGACACCAATGCAGTCATCCAAGTGACCACGACCGAAATCAAGAGATAAAAGAGCAGAGCGCATTGCGCACAAGGCTCACAAGCGAGTTTTGAAAAAAAAAGTGTCCTGGCTAAACCAGCGATAATAGTCATGTGGTCAGAGAAATGATAATGAGGAGAGATTTTCAGCGAAATAAACAAATTAAAAATTTGTCTGAATGAGGATAATGAAGTGTGTTTATGTGAGGTGAACTGAGAAAGTTGCATAACCAATCCAAGATTTCGTAGGCATGTTCCAACACCAAAAAACACGGCAAACATTACCAGTTTGGGTGATTGTCGGCGGAGGAGGCGCAGCTACTGCAAAGACAACCTGTTAAGGAAAATCGTAGCATTTTAGGTTTGATATGAATAAAGCAGGGGAGGAGGGTCGGATGGGATTTATCAGCTACCATGGCTAGTAAATGACCCATCGAACATTACGTGCTCCAAATCTTTACATTAAAT